ATTTTACGTTAATTACAGATCATCATGCGTTATCACAAATTTTTGCTCCACATAAAAGCCTTCCTATTTTTTTCTGCTATGCGAATGCAACATTATGCATTGTTTTTACAAGGTTTTAACTATTCAATTAAATATCGAAAATCAGAATTACATGCAAATTGTCTGTCGCGTCTTCCTATAAAAAATGATAGTACAAATTACGATGTTGTTAATATTTTTCAATTAAATACAATCAAAATCTTATCTGTTACAAATTTAAAATTAGCAACACGAAAAGACGTCAAACTTTCAAAATTATACAAATTATTAGCATTTGGAAAGAAAGTAGAAAAATACGATAATTTTCAAATAGATACACGCGAATTTACATTGCAAAGTGGAGTAATTCTTAGAGATCATAAAACAGTCATTTCTTATTCCTACTAGTAAGAAAATACTACAAGAACTCCATTTAGGACAGTTTGGTGTAGTCAGAATGAAGAATCTGGCCAGAGGCTACGTTTGGTGACCAAATATTGATCAAAATATTGAATCTTTAACAAGAAATTATAAAGACTGCAATGCTTTTCGAAATAACTCAACAAAAATAGAAGCACACATATGGGAACTTTCGATAACCCCTTTCGAAAGAGTACACGCAGATTTTGCGGGACCATTTTTAGGACATCACTATTTTATTTTAGTAGATGCATATACGAAGTGGTCCGAAATGCATATTGTTAAAAACCTTATAACAAAGACAATAATAGATTTATGTAGAAAAATCTTTGCTACATTTGGAATTCCAAAATATTCTGTAATTGAGAATGCAACAACTTTCACAGCTAGAAAATTCAAAACGTTTTTAAAAGTAAATGGAATTACGTTAAAGCTTGCAGCACCGTACAACCCAGCAACAAATTGCCAAGCAGAAAGATTTGTTTAAATGTTAAAAAAATCTTTGCGTCGTATGAGAAGCAATTCATCTAATGTATATATTTTATTACAACAAATACTTATGCAGTATAGAAACACTAGTCAAGCCGCAACAGAAAAATCACTAGCGGAATTATGTAATGTTCACGAGAAGACTACGTAAGCGTTAGATTTAGTATTACCAAAAAAGAAGATATACAAACAGAAAGTAAGCAATCACCTATTGTTTTCGAGGTAAGAAAGAGAGTGAGTTGCAGAAACTATATAGGGCACGATAAATGGTTGTTTGGAAAAGTTAAACAACGGATAAGAAAACTACACTACTAAATTCAGCTATAGTTGATGGACGAATATGGAAAAGACACATTAATCAAATGCGTACGATAGGCAAGAAAACACCATTGAAAATGTTAGATAATATAATTTTTGATAATGATTTTACAGTAAAAAATACCTCGCCTAAAATAGAAAGGCCGTTATAGCAAGCACCAGGGAAACCAGAGCATTTACAACAAGAGTTGCATCAACAAACAATGCCTACGGGCAACTGGGAAACTCTAATAAGTCACAAGAAAATTTTGCAGGAAGAGTCACAGAATCTATAGCGGAAACTCCAAAACGAGTTTCAAGATCCCCGAGAAGATCACGTAGACTACCTATGAGTTTTAAAGACTACGAAGTTCAATTCAAATAAAAACATATATACATATTTGTCACATTTATACTTTCGATAAATTTTGTTTTTTTTTTCTTTCTTTTCTTTCTTATCGAACACTCTCACGTATATTTCTTTTCTACGAATGTATTTCTTTGTTTAGCAGGGAGAGTGTTATGTACGTTACGGTAAATTAAGTTACCGCGTACGCGAAGCATATATGGCGTACGTATGCGTAAACAGAAATACGGTGTGTATGTGTGCGTGTGTGAGAATCAGAGTCGCACTAAGGCGCGGAAAAGTCAAACAAGTTCCACGTTTGTAATAAGACATATTTAAGAATATATTATTCACTAAATCACATCAAGTTGAGATCGTTACCCGCCTCGGTGATATACACAACAAATAAGTAGTATCCCGGGAGAATACAATAAACTTAATACGGCTCGAAAGTAGGGTAGAGAGAGGGGGGGATCGAGAGAGCGATTGGCATCCGCGAGCGCCATCTGAGTCTGTGAGTTGTAATGCCCAACAAATACAAACAGAACAAAGATTTATCAAATATTGATAAAACACAATCTTAGATGACCTTTTATATATTATTAAATATTAATAAATAAAAACGATAAAATATTATTTTGTGAAATTAAATTATACATTTTAAAATATATACAATCAGGTCACTATTTATATTTCGGGAATAGGAACAAAAACAAATAGTTAAGCTGCGAATATATTTTTATTGTTTTTCAAAGTACTCGCCACGATGATCGATACACTTTTGCATGCGCTTAAACCAATTTTCAAAGCATTTATTCCATTCCGAATGAAGTATCTCCAAAACATGATTTTTGAACGCTTTAATAGCTTCTTCGGGCGATGAAAATCGTTGACCACGCAGTTTATTCTTCACGGATGGGAACAAAAAGAAATCATTGGGTGCCAAATCAGGGCTGTACGGCGGATGACCCATCAATTCGATGTTTTGAGTGCTCAAATAGTCTCTTGTTTGAGCCGATGTGTGAGAGCTCGCATTGTCATGATGAAAAACAATCCGACGTCTCTTGTTTGTTTTCCTTATTTCACCGAAGATTTCTGGCAAACAGATGGTTGTGTACCACTCAGAATTTGCTGTTCTACGATCCTCTAGAGGCACTGTTGCAATATGACCAGTTTTTCTGAAGAAACAGGCCACCATTTTCTTTGAAGTGCTTTGTGCGCAAACAACTTTTGTTGGATTTGGTTCATCTTGGAACACCCATACAGTCGACTGCTGCTTACTTTCGGGCTCATACAAATATATCCATGATTCGTCACCTGTCACGATTTTATAAACGTCTTTTGAAGCACCGCGATTGTATTTTTTAAGCATTTCTTTGCACCAATCGACACGAGCCTTTTTTTGAGCGATTGTCAAATTATGTGGGATCCAACGCGAACATAACTTTCGCACAGCTAAGTGTTCATGTAAAATCGCATATATGCTGGTGGAACTAATGCTTAAGGATGCCTCAATCTCACAATAGGTTACATAACGATCTTGCTTAATCATTTCGTGCACAGCATCGATGTTTTCTGGCACTACAGTCGATTTTGGACGACCTTCACGAAATTCGTCGGACAGCGAACTACGACCACGATTGAATTCACTATACCAGCGATACACAGTGGTTTTTGATGGAGCTTCATCGCCAAAAGTCAAATTAAGTTGATTGACGCACTCTTGTTGTGATAATCCACGTCGAAAGTTGTAAAAAATCATTGCACGAAAATGTCCACGATTCAGTTCCATTTTTTGCCGAGACGAAACTTTCAACTAAATATAAAATAAACAAATAGCGTCCGTATGACAAAATGTTCTGAGTACGTATATCGTCAAAAATGTCAAACTTTACGATGGAACCGTCAGATGGACTCACATGACATCAGTGTTGCCAATTCCCGAAATATAAATAGTGACCCTATTTTAAGTAGCAAAATGACGTCATAATGACGGCTAGTTTTGGCCACAAAAAGACCAATGAGACGTCCCTGTTAGATCTTATGAGGCACGAAAATGACGTCAATATGTCACATCCATGAGACGTCATTTTTTGACGACTTATTGACGTCTTTTGATGTTATTTTGACGTCTTATTGACAAAATAATATGACGAATATAAGATTTAAATTGATGAAATTTTTACAATTTTAACAATTAATTAACATATAGTATCAGTTATAACCTATAGTAAGAGATCTCATTCAACAAATATAAATAAATATATATTCGATAATATAAAATATACAAATTTTAAGTATATTAGACCACAGAAGAATGTCTTAATATAAATAAATTTACACACATTTATATCTCGTAAATTTATTTGTTAAAAATCATTCTTCTGTTACCGAGTACATTTTACATTAGAAGAATATACCTATAATACTTTACTCTTAACAGTCTCTTTTTGCCAGCTTTATATAATTCTCTGATTAAAACTTACATACGAGATAGAAGACATCGTGCATCGCATAGCGATAAATTAAGGAACTAGGATTAGAACGTCTTCAAAATAACGTCTTTATTTAGTCTAAAAAATGACGTCTTATAAACGTCCATTATTAGTCGCTGACGTCATAGACCAAAAATGACTAAAAATAGACGTCATAATTACGTCTTTTGACGTCACTTTGCTACTTGAGATACAACACAATTAATACATATCAAAATAAACAGTTTTAATAAGTAAAAATGTAAGAACTTGTCAGTGTATAATAAAAATAATAAAATCCTTTATTTCTTCTCAACCAAACTGCATGACTATATTTTTGATTAAATCATACACTATCGGTTTTGGCCCTTTTTAAATGTTATATGCTTATATTTCCTTTTATAAAATTTTTATATCTTTACGGGTAATGATTAAGTTTTAATAAAATATCAATGTGATGATTATATAGTTTCACTATATCAATCATTATGAATGATCTTTTTTATTTGCTCATTTTTATATTCTCTATTTTTTAATTTTTGCAAAACATTATGCATAATAGTCCTAAATCATTCTATTATAGAATAGTTTTATTATTATTAAATATATAATATATTATCATTAAGGTGTCTGAATAGCTTAGGTGAAAAGAACAGTCGCCCGGTAAGCAAAAGGTCTCGGGTTCAATTCTCGATTCAGTCGACTTTTTCGGACCGATATATTTTTCTCGTCTACATCAATTTAGGGGAAGTAAAGGGAAAAGGAATTTAAATCTCAATTTAGAGATTGTTCCTTGGTTTAGTGAATTGCTAAGTATTAGGCTCTTTACAGCAATATATTCTTTCTATCCTTATAATTGTATTGTTTGAATCATTTGAATTTTTTCCCTTAATCTTTAATTTTTTCTTAATTTTTATAATTTTTTAATGTTAAACATTTCTAATTATATGTATAAGTTTATAAATTCACTATTGTCCAGAAAAGACAAAAAATGATAATTGTAATAATTACTAATATAATTTATTGTTGTTAAAAGAGTAATTTTCATTCCAACTACCTTATTTTATGTATTGCGTGCGCATCTAGGGATTTCTTTCTTTTTCGTACTTACTTCTATATCTTTCATTCGCTTTGTAACACGTATTATCGTGACGTATAATAAAAGTATATTTTATTAAAAGAAGAATTGTTCCTCGCCCTCTAAATTATTACAATAATTATTAATAATAAAATTATTAAATGTAATAACTATATTAATAAACACAATAATAACACATGGGTCGACAAAAATACAACTTTTTTCTGGACTTAAAGCAAGCAAAGCTGTTTCTAATAGATTTTGATGAGCTGATTACGAATCTGGTTCAAAAAATGTCGTATCACGTAAAGTTTTTGAGATATTTTAATCTAAAGATTAGGGCAAAAAAGATGGGCAAAAAATTTTAGCTCATTTTCAACGATGCGTTGGACAGGGTAAGTACAGCTTATACTTACCCTTTCCAACGCTTATTCGATTGCTAAGGTTGAATTTTTTTCGCTGAGCTAGACTAAATTTATTTTTTTTTGTTTTTCAACGCGAGAGAGTATACCTATGTGTGTAGAGAAAATAAAAGGACTTAAATATCTCCAAAAGATAAAAAAATCAAGTCATAGTAACCGAATATGCGTTGGAAAGATAAGTTAGAGATTTTATAAGTCATTAAAAAGGGCCTAAAAACCTCACTTTTAGCACCATTAGATTAGAATATCTCAAAAACTTTACGTGATCCGACATTTTCTGATTGTAAGCAAGTAATCAGCGCATTAAAATCTATCAGAAACAGCATCGTTTGCTTTAAGGCCAAAATGGTGTCGACCAGTATAATTATACATAATAAAACATAATAATTAGAATATAATCATAAGATAATGATAATCACAAGATAATGAGATAATAGTAATAATAATTTTACCTATAATTAAGTACAATAACCAGTAATTAGATATAATTAATTTTTGTATTCAATTGCCAGATTTCTAGCTTTCTTTTTTAATTCTGTCTTGGCAATTTTTAAACCAATATATGGAAAAGCATCCAGAAATATTACTTCAGCTAGAAGCTTATATTGATCTTTTATGTTATTCAACACAAACTCTATTAATTCTTGCGCTGTTACCTACACAAAAAATAAATATTTATTCCATAAAAATAATTGTATATTCTTTCAACATTTATACAAGAAATACACACGCACACACCCACTCATACAAAGCATCGCATTTTAACTTTCGGATTGAAATTTTTCAAAAACCAAGGCTTTCATCGGAAAATATTTTATTCAAAAGTTGTAAAATTTTAAGGAGAGGGTGGGATCGTCTAGTAACATAGTTTTATTTTAAATGGAGGCATTTTTGAGATTCTGAGATCATTATTATTTTTTTAAAACAGAATTACTATAATTTTTTTACATAAATTGTTTATAATCGATTTTTCATAGTAGTTTGTGTACAAAATTGTTGCAGTAAAAACAGTCGAAAAATACATGATTTACGAGATATTTTATACCTTAAGCTGACACATTTTGGCAAAAAGTATGAACTATCGCGTAGTATATTTTTTAATAAAATTACCTTAATAAGTTTTTGCATAGAATAATAAAATTAATGAATTGATGTAAGGAAAACATGGAATCATTTAAAAATAGTTTGTAGTTGTTTTTTATTGCAAATTGTAATTTTTTTAGTCACAAGAGTATACTTTATTGCTTTTATCAATTATATATAATTTATTTCATTATTCTATGCAAAAAATTTTATTAAAGTAAAATTATTAAAAAATGATTATATTATGAAAAAAATAGTTTTCGAAAACTTTTCATCCAAAAGTTAAAATGGAACATCTTGCAAATATAGAATAATGGACAAAGAAAATGGAAAAATTTCTTATGTAAATATATAAATATAATTTCTTATGTAAATATAAATACAATAAAATTTTTTTATCTATTTGTTTTTTAGAAAGTTGATTTTGAAATTCCATTAAGTACGAATTTATTTCATTAGCAAAAAAAAATCTGTTTAATGGATCTCGTTACTATTATTTCTATTTGTATTTATAAAAATGCCGCGTATTGTCCATTATTATTTTCAACTTTTATTTATTGAATTACACAATAAAGAAATGCTAATAATCTAAATCGTCTTCAATTTTAATGTAATATATAAATAATCGAAGAAATAAAGTTTAGAGTACATTTTACTATTAACTCACGCTTTTTTAATTCATATTATTTGCGAGAAAAAGTCATATATCTAGCAATTTATGATTTAATGAAATAAATGCGTTATAATACATTGAAACTTGCATATGCATTTAGAATCTTTTTTTCAAAAATTTATCTAATTTACATTTACATAATGAAAATTTCACTTTCACTTACGCCACTTGTATTCTGTACATGTATTATTAATCTTTTAATTTATTTAATTTAATTAAGACATATGTATTTATGTTATAAAAAAATAAAGAAACGCGTACACACATGTCTATTTGTGAAATATTTACAAAGTTAAATGAGTAAAAAATAAAAATCTTAGAAATATTAGATAATAACAAAAGTTCGTAAACATTTTTAAAATGCAATGTTCAAATACAAGTGATTTTATTTCACAATATATGAGATATGTGGAATATCTCCGCGTCTCTCTAATCTAAAAACTCACCTTTAAAAAAAGGTAAAAAAAGGCGACCAGTTAAGGGCACGCAATTAACAAAAATTATCCATTGCAAACCCATGTAGAATCCTATCCTATTGCAAACCCATGTAGAATCCTATGAAAAATTAATCATTGCAAACCCATGTAGAATCCTAGGCAAAATTAACCATTGCAAACCCATGTAGAATCGTACCCATTGCAAACCTATGTAGAATCCTATGAAAAATTAACCATTGCAAACTCATGTAGAATCCTATGAAAAATTAACCATTGCAAACCCATGTAGAATTGTATTAAAAATTATCCATTGCAAACTTATGTAGAATCCTACATTGCAAACCCATGTACAATAGAATTGTATGAAAAATTATCGATTATAAACCCATGTACAATCGTAACAAAAGTAATAAAATAAAAAAAAAATTGCGCCAAGTGAAAGTAGAAACTTGTACCAGTGGAAAATTAAAGTTGCAGACATATATAGAGTCGTATAATGAATCAGTAAAAATTTAAATTTGCAAATGTAGAATCGTACCATAAAAAACTTATCTTTTAAAAAAAAAGATAAACAAGATGCCAAGTCCATGCGCCATGTGAAAAAGAAATAAAAAAATTTTAGTTAAAAAAACTGGGAGCGCTGCTAAATAATATTCTAACAATATTAAAATTAAATTGTTACTTTTAAACTCATTACAGTTAAAATATGTTTTGTGTTTAAATTAATTAATGTTACTTTAAGGTGCATTATAATTTTGAAACTTAGCAGCGCGCCCAGTTTTTTTAACTAAAATTTTTTTATTTCTTTTTCACATGGCGCATGGACTTGGCATCTTGTTTATCTTTTTTTTAAAAGATAAGTTTTTTTATGGTACGATTCTACATTTGTAAATTTAAATTTTTACTGATTCATTATACGACTCTATATATGTCTGCAACTTTAATTTTCCACTGGTACAAGTTTCTACTTTCACTTGGCGCAATTTTTTTTTATTTCATTACTTTTGTTACGATTGTACATGGGTTTATAATCGATAATTTTTCATACAATTCTATTGTACATGGGTTTGCAATGTAGGATTCTACATAAGTTTGCAATGGATAATTTTTAATACAATTCTACATAAGTTTGCAATGATTAATTTTTCATAGGATTCTACATGAGTTTGCAATGGTTAATTTTTCATAGGATTCTACATAAGTTTGCAATGGGTACGATTCTACATGGGTTTGCAATGGTTAATTTTGCCTAGGATTCTACATGGGTTTGCAATGATTAATTTTTCATAGGATTCTACATGGGTTTGCAATAGGATAGGATTCTACATGGGTTTGCAATAAATAATTTTTGTTAATGGCGTGCCCTTAACTGGTCGCCTTTTTTTACCTTTTTTAAAGGTGAGTTTTTAGAGATTATATCATTCATTTTTGTATATTTTTATGACCGGAATAGAACAATTATTAAACATGTTTATCTAAACTTCTTTGCTTAAAATGATGTGTACAATCATATCCTAGAATCCTGATCATTCCTCCTAAAGCACTCTATTTATATAAATTTACCCATATGTGTGTGTGTGTGTGTGTGTATGTGTGTGTGTGTGTACTAATGTCGAGCATTTTTTATACATTTTCTATTAAATTTAGATAAAAGTTGCAGGATTTCGAAAAAGAAAAAGTTGACACAGACTTTTTCCTAAACGGCGATTTTCAAGGTTATTTAAAGGTCACTTATATTTTCAAAATAGAATTACCTTAATTTTTCTCATATAAATCGATTCCTCGCAATATTTACTATAAAAAGTTGTAAAGGTACAATTTTTACATAATCTTACATAAACTTCGAAATATTACAAATATTTTATTTTATGAAATATTTCAGTTTATGTAAAATTATGTTAACTATCTTTTAAATTATTCACTTTTAGCCATCTTATCCTTACAACCTTTTATAGTGAATATTGCAACAAATTGGTTTATATATATAATATATATATAACATCAGTTATTATTAATTGATGTTTACATTTATTTTTAGATTTACTAGAGCTCAAATGCTCCACATTTTTTGCAATAACTGTTTATTCTACAGATTTCAAATATGCTTGTAAATGATGATTGAATATTTCCTTTTTTTAATTATTTTTATTATTATTTTTCAATTTCAATCAACTTTTATAACTTTATGCCAGCACGATACAAATACATGTGTCTTTATTTTTTTTATTATTTTCATTATTATTTTTCAATCTCAATCAACTTCTATAACCTTATGCCAGCAGGATACAAATACATGTATGTCTTTATTATTGTATCAACTCTTGTCTTTTCCATGTAACCATGTCTTCATAGTTTGAATTATCCCTTCATCTTCTCAATCTTTCGCAGAGATTTAATTAATTAAATACACTTCACACGAAATAAAGTTTGCTGGAAGATATACAGCAAACGATAACTGTAAAAACATGATTACGTGGAAAGAACAAGAGTTGGTACAGTAAAGGCAAGTAAGTAAGTAAGTACATGTAATGTATCGTAATTGGCATAACGCTATATCCGCGGAGCAGATAATGTGGCTGTAGAGGTAGTCTGCAGTGCAGCTAATGTGGACGTAGATGTTGATTGAGATAATTGTTTAATATAAAATAGAATTTCAAAATTTAGTTTAAAAAGCTGTTGCATATATAAATAAAGTTTATTTTTTCTAAATTTGGAATATGTTTAATTAATTAATTTTTTAAGTCTATGTTTAATAAATTTTTTAAGTCTGTATTCAATAATTTTATTCATTTGATAAATACATGTATGTCTTTATTTTAATATGTTTAATATAATTAGAAATTTATTATTAATTAGATATGTAAACTATAAATTCATATATAATATTTGAAAATATATGTGAATATTTAAATTTTTATCTTCTCCTTCCTCTCCTTCAATCTCTTTAATATCAATAGGTGTATGTGTGTACACGCGCGCACATTTGTACGTATTTATTTAATTATTGGATAGTTGAGAGTACTTAATTGATAAAAAATTATGACAATAATAATCCTTTTGTTTTTTTTTCTTATTATTTACTCAGATTTTTTCTATCTTATAAGATAAACACTTTAGAGATTGAATATTTCAAGTAAACTAATTGTAAGTAAATTTCACATTAATGCATATAGATGTTTAATCATGAATGTACTAAATAAGTACACAAGACGAACAGTGAGTGAGTGAGTGAGAATGAGAGAGTGTGTGTGTGAGAAAGAGAGAGAGAGAGAGAGAGAGTTAGCCAACATAACCCCGCACGCTGCCGATATGGCGGAGCGCCACTATCGCCATCTGTTGTAAAACGTGCGAGATGGACAAAATTACCACTACATGCATCTTGCATGTGTTGTGTACGTGTGATATATGTGTGCGCATGTGTTGTATACGTGTGAATACGTGTAGCACGATACTACTATGTATGCGTGGTCGATGATGATGACAATAATGATGACGGGGACGTTTCTTAATAGAAATTTTTCATATTTCGACTTTGCATTTATATATCTCTGCTTACAAATCACGTAGAGCAGAAATAAAGACACTTTTATTATATAATTCGAACTCAATCTATCGATTAAGTCTAGTATAAACTCGATTGCTTCAGCCATTATTGAGGATTCGAAATATTATAAAGACTCAAATGTCTGACTCGCGTTAAGATACACGGTGTCTCCGCTACGCCCTTAACTGGTCGCGAGACACTACCGTGTCTCTTGATGACTCGAGTCGTGTAACGTGTCTTATTGTTAGTTCGAATTGATATCTTGAGTTGGTTATTATCAATGGTCGACGGCCTGCCGGAGCGATGTTGATTTTCAACATCGAAAACGTCACTTCTAAATCGAATTACTTTTGTATCGTACGCTTTGCAATCGCACCACATTCACAGACCTCGCAAATTTTATTTATAACTAATAAAATTTATTATTTAATTTATTTATTATATTTATCTAGTTGTACTTTTTATGAAAATAAAATGACATTAAATGACGATAATGGACTTTATTTTCCTCCATTTTCACTATTTTCGTTTCAATAATGAACAATCACAAAAACATGCACCAAAACCAAAAAAAGATGCGTTGAAATGTCACCTTTCATATATGCATAATGACGGCAGTTTGAATAGCGTGAGATGTTATTTATATATATATATTTCATTTATGGATAATCCTTACGAATTTTTGTTATAATCCAAGTTTATTAAAAATTTTATTAAATTTTTTAAAGAAATTAATGAAACAATTTTCAAAACTTCTCAAATTGCTAAATTACTATTTTATAGAATCTCGCTCTCTGATTTTATTATCATTGAAATAAGATTATACCTTTTTATCAGGTATTTTTGTAACAAAACCAACAGGATGTTCACCATCTACTGGATGAGGTACTCCTACTACTGCAGCTTCTATCACTGCTGGATGTGTTACTAAAATACCTTCAATTTCTCCAGGTGAAATTTGATACCCTTTATACTTTATAAATTCGCCCATTCTATCAACAATAAAAAGTTCTCCGTCTTCGTCGAAGTAACCAATGTCACTAGAATGCAGCCATCCTAAAGTCATAAATAAATTCATACTTACTTTTATGGTACAATATTTTTTTTATAATTTATCTCGTTAAAAAAAATAAATTTTCCAACTACAAATTTTTTACACTGGTATTAACAAGAGAATCGTCTGAGGTGTCCCTCACCAATCTTGATGCGTTTTGAATATGTTATAGAGCATGAAAAAATATTAGACCCATATTTTTTTTAGATATTTATCTTATTCCGTTATTTTCGAAGAAATGTTTTAACCCCTGAACATTGAGATAATTCTATTCTAAAAAAGGCATGTTATTGATATTGTTGTCGTTTTTCCGCGATGCTGATCGACTGTTCCGATTTGCCATTGTTATGTGTTAGATTCATAGCATCGAGCAGTTGTTGAGAAGGTTAACAGTTTGACAGTTATCAAAATTTTATATAAATATATTATAATACATTAATTATTTTTCGTTCTGCATTCGTGCGGGTATTCGAACATTTGCTGTCATTTAATCTAATGCTATTGCCAAGAGGACAGCAAAACAATATGTAAGTAAGCGAATTTCCATTATATATATAATTTTATTTCATCGAATTTGTATTATGTACATAATTTTAATTCACCGAATTTCTATTATATACATAATTTTAAATCATCGAATTTCTATCATGTATATGATTTTACTTCATCAAATTACTATTATGTACATAATATTAATTCTCGAATTTCTATTACGTACATAATTTTAATTCCTGTTCTTATATTATACACATAATACAAATTCGGCAAATTAAAATTATGTACCTATTGGATATTCGATAAATTCATATTCTGACAATTGTATGTATCGAGTGTTAGTGTAGGGATAGTTATGTATATTAAATGATTTGGTGTAAATAATTGTTAAAATATGATAACTAAGTGTTTATTAATTTTGTAATTAAATGATTTCGACTACAGTTTCTTAGTTAGAAAAGAAAATAGAAATTCGGTGAATTCAAATTATGTACATAATGGATATTCGATAAATTCATATTTTGACAATTGTATGTATCGAGGGGTTAGTATAGTGATAGTTATGTATATTGAATAATTTGGTGTAAATAATTGTATAACGTGATAACTAACAATAAATGTTTATTAATTTTGTGATTAAGTGATTCCGACTACATTTTCTTACTTAGAAAGGAAAATAGATATTCAATTAATTAAAAATATGTTCATAATAAAACTTCAGTTAATTAAAATTATGTACATAATAGAAATTTAACAAATTAAAATTATTTACATAACAGAAATTCGGATAATTAGAATTATATAATACATAATAAAAATAAAGAATATTTATGTACAAAATAAAAATTCGATGAATTTCCATTAAGTACCTAATTTTTATTCGTAAATTTCTATTTAATACGGCGAATTAAAATTATGTACATAGTTTCAATTCTTTAAATTCTATTATGTTCATAATTTAATTCGCCGAAATCCTATTATGTAAATAACTGAAATTGTACTTAATAGAAATTCACGAATAAAAATTGTGTACATAATAGAAATACGAGAATTAAAATTATGTACATAATAGAAATTCGGGAATTAGAATTATGCACATAATAAAAATTTGATAAATTAAAATTATGTATATAATGAAAATAAATTATAAATAATTAAATTTAAATAAATACATAATAGAAATTCAGAGAATTAAAATTATATACATAATAGAAATTTGGCGAATTCAATTATGAACATAATAAAAATTCAACATATTAAAATTATGTACATAATCGAAATACGGCGAATTAATTTCCACTCCTGTAGGGATACAAATGAAATAGAAAGTGGTATAAATGGGTACAAACGAATTGGAAGCAGCCGTTTACAGAATTGAAATATCTTAAAAAATAGCAACGTTACCCCTTTCACAAATTTTAAATATCCTCTATTTCAACCCGCGTAGAGGTACAAACGAAATGAAAAGTGGTACAAACCGTTTCCTTAAAAAGTGTAAAGGCATGCAAAATCGATTCTCGCATGTATTGTTGTCGCTTTTTCGAGTTGCTGATTGATTGTCTCGATTCGCATTGTGTATTATATTTATATCAAACAGCTGTCATTGCAAAGGTTAATAGTTTGACAGTTGTTCTAAATAATATTAAATCAAAGCATATAACATCAATGGCGCGCACAAAGCGTGCGCTTGTGTTGTAGTTTTCCTTAAAAAGTGTATGTTAAGTCGATTACTCGAATATATCAAAGCGTTGAAGCCTCTTTTTCTGCGATGCTGATTGAATGCTGGCGCGTTGCGATATTTTCGTGATTAGGATAGGTGCGTAGCGTTTGAGCGCCTTGTAATGTAAAAATGATGTGTTCTATTATGTACATAATTTGAATTTCCAAATTTCTATTATGTACATAATTTTAATTTGCTGAATTTCAATTATATACATAATTTGAATTTCCTTTTCTATTATGTACACAATTGTAATTCGATGAATTAAAATCATGTATATAAAAAAAATTTGAGAATTAAAGTTATGTACATAATTAAAATTCAGCAAATTAAACTTATGTACTTTATCGGAGAAAACGTTTGTTTAGCGCGCGCGAAGCATGCACTTGTGTTATCTAGTCATCTAACAATAAGAAAGATGGTTTATATGAGTCTAATATCGTTTAATGCTCTACAGTCTACAACATATCTAAAATGCATCAAACTCGGTGAGAGACACCTCCGACGATTCCCTTGTAAGTATATAGAGCACTTGTAAAAAAACCGAATTACTGTTAAAAATTATTTTATAAAATAATGTCATTTTTATTCTGCACAGATCAGTGTTAAACAATTTCTAAAACTTATCTTTGTATGAATTTCTATTTTTATTTTTTTGAGTAAAATTTTTATTTTGAATACTATTATTTTTGTAGGAAATTAAAACAGCTATTTATACATATATATACATAACAGATTTTTTAAATTAAAATATTCCCATTTAAAGAAAGAAAAATTAATTAGCATAAAATTTTTATTCTTGTTGTATGATACTTTAACTGATTAGTTGGAATACAGATATACGAAAATAATTGAATATTTGTATATAAAAAAATTAATTTAATTATATTGTTTACATTGCACGAATGCGCGCAAAAGAATGGTATTTTTTCTACCTTTCTCGTCAATAATGGTTTTAGTTGCTTTAGGATTTTTGTAGTAGCAAGTCATCATGGTCGGTGTCTTTATCCACAATTCTCCCTGATTATTTGGACTAAGAACTTTTCCGTCTTCAGGGTCTACAATCTTCATTTCCACATATCCGATTACAGTCCCGCAAGATCCGGCCTTGTGATTTGGAAGTTGCAATGTACCGGATCCACATATTTCTGTCATTCCTATACAAATACAACATATAGAATAATAGAATTTTGAGGATAAATATTCTTTAATAATTATTATATGTATATTATTTTTTGCAATGCCTGTTGTCAAAGTTCGATTTTTGATTGCTGTTTAGCGTGCGAAAAATGGCTTATTCCTCAACGATTCCATGTCTTACTTTATCACACTAGTGCGAGAAAAGCATCTTTATTATTTACTTTACCGCACTAGTGCGGGAAAAAATCTTCTTTCTTCTCGATTGACATAACAAACGTAACGAAATTCACGCGAGACAAAACGTCAATTTGTTATAACCTTCACTATTCAAGAAGGATCAAATGGATAAAAGAAACGATTGTTCAAGACTGTCCACGCCGTTAGAACTTATAGAAGCAGCTGAATCTGCCACGAAGACTTTATTACCGAAAAAATCAAGAGATAAGTACATGAGTAAAAACATCTCAAATCAAACTTTTGCGATAGGCATTACAAAAAATATTGTATGTGGCATGTGCGGAGGGCAACGAATACATCGCGCGTAAAGTTGCCGCGTTCGCCTTAGCGTATGATGCATTCACACTCGTACTCGTGTGAATGCATCATACGCCTTCAGCTCATGCGGCAACTTCACCCGCGATGTAATTTGTTATTTTCCGCACTTGCCACATAAGACACTATTATTTATTATGTATTGATATTATTTTGATTATGAAATATACATATGTATATATTGATATATTTATGACATTTTATTACACTGGAATACTTACCATAACTTTGTAATATCAGAACATTTGGTAAGGTACGTCTCAGTTTTTCGTGTACTTGTGGCTGAAGTATCGCACCTGAATTTATTATGACTTCCAAAGATGACAATGGATAGTTTCTTATATAATCCGCTTTAAGAAATCGATTAAGCATGCTTACGGTTATATAAAGTATCTCTACCTGAATAGCAACAAGAATCAAGTTAGAAAAAAATTCATTTGTCAGTAATGTCCAGATATATATATATATATATATATATATATATATATATATATATATATATATATATATATATATATAAATGTTATACAATCAATATTTCTTAGATATTAATTATAACAGTATATGCAAGATATTTTAATATTTTCCAAAAACAATTCATATATATATTTATTTATAAAATAAAAGAAAGCATAAACTTTTTGCAATGCTTGTCGCGAAAGTTCGATTTTCGATTGCAGTGTAGTGTGCGGAAAATGGCTTATTTCTGAACTATAATTCAATGTATGCCTTACTTTACCACCACTAGTCCAAGGAAGACAGAAAAGTCAAAATGGCGTCAATTTGACGCCATATTGACTAAATTTATGTCATTTTTTGGTGAATATGACGTCAAATTTAGTCAATATGACGTCAAATTGACTTTCCTGTTCTCCATGGGGTGCGAGAAAAGCACCTTTATGATTTACTTTACCGCACTAGTGCAGTAATATGCGAGTTACTTTACCGCACTAGTGCGTAAAAAAACCTTCTTTCTTAATGGTTAAGTGGGGAGCACACACTTTGCACACACTTGATTGGTCTATAAACGTATGCATAAGAAATTTAACCAATCGGATTTTTTAAGCATGTTCAATCAATCAAATTTCTTAAGCAGGAAGCACACACTTTTGCATAAGCGCATAAGCATATGCATAAGAAATTCGATTGGTTGAATTTCTTATGCATACGTTTATAGACCGATCAAGATTTTTATGCTTACGCTTAAGTGTTTATGCAAAAGTATGTGCTCCCCGCTTTATGCATATGCTTATGCGCTTATGCAAAAGTGTATGCTCCCCGCTTTAATTGGTTGATAGTTTTTGTTTTATCATTTCTCGACTGATATAACAAACTTGAACGTAACAAAATTCACGTGAAACAAAACGTCAATTTGTTATAACCTTCATTATTCAAGAAGGATAAAATGGATAAACGTTTTTTTTTCAAGTGTCCAAGACTGTCCACGCTGCTACAACTTATAGAAGCAGCTGAATCTGTCACAAAGACTTTATTAAAAAATCTAGAGATAAATATATGAGTAATTGATTACTTTCTTTATTTTGTATTATGAAAGTGTTGAGGTAAGATTATTAAAAAATGAATATTTTACAAAACAGTTCTCGTACGATTATATCAAATTAAAATATAAAATCTGTATAAACTATATACCATAAACTACTGACTTTTGTTTAACCTATTACTACCCTTTTTGTGACATTTTTTTCATATTTTTATTGCATGATAGCTTACGCAATAAAATAGATTAATTTTCACTACATAAACTTTTTTTAAACTATCCAAAACGTCTAAAAAATTGTTCGAATCTTTACACTAAACATCCTGAATATCTATAATTTACATATCATCGCAATTTTCTCCGTTAACTCCATTACGATTCTCACCTCGTATTTTTTGATTAGTTTACACGTCATCTCTTCCTCGAATTCTGGGTAAATGATCACTTTGACGCCTTGTACAATCGATTTTAGGTTCATCACTATTCCGCCGATAAAATGGAGTGATATAAACCACAACCAAACCGTATTGGTCACATTCATGATTCTATTCTCGCTGGTGATTAAGAGAGCGTAATTGGACAGTTCGACGCCTTTCGGCATTCCAGTGGAGCCTGAGGTATGTATAATGCATACTGTTTGCTTGATGTTATCAGGCTCGAAAAATTGAAAATTTGCTGCTTCCGCATCGCTGTACATGCTTAAAATGTCAGAAAATGCAATTGCGTCTGGATGATCGCCAAAAACCACAATATTGGGATTGAAGCAGTTCTCTTTTGTCGCTTTTAAAATAACGTTCACGACTTTTTCGTTACAGAAAATCACTTTCGGAGTAGTCAGTTGCATGAAATGCAATGCTGTTTCTAATGACAAATAGCACATAAGTATTAGAGCATAAGAGGAAAAATATCGGACTTCGAATCTAACATTCTGCTATCACTAACATAAGTAAGAAATCTTCCCATTTCGCAAATGTTGAATTTGATAATCTTCTGACTATGTTGTAATTTAGGTCAAAATAAGAGACATAAAACAAATAATAAGTATAAAAATTCTAAATAACATAAATACTACATATGTATTTATATATATTACTCATATACTTATAATTAAAATATATAAATAAATAAACAAAATTTAATTAATATAAAATTGATAAAATTATATTTGCGCATGCACTATCATTGAAGTTTTATTTTTTCTGATCTTCAATCGAACATAAAGCAATGTTTTTAATTGCATAGTAGCAGAACTTACGCAGGTCCATACTATCATCCCACGGATTAAAGATAGCATTGATATAAATTGCTGCCAAGCAGGGCACAATAGAATTGAGATGACTATGTGTACACACACTGACAACATCACCGGGTTTGATTCCTTGTTTTCGTAGCCACAACGCGCACCTTACAACTTTGTCTTGTAATTCCGTATACGTAACTACTTTCTCAGTGCATGCATCTAACTATAAAATAATTGCTATTATACATATTATAATACATTTCAAAAAACATTTTGCGCGCAAATACCTAGTTATTGCATACAAAAGCGGCTCATACTGCGCAAGCAAAACCTTAGTGCATCGTCATAGTGATAGCAAATGCTAGCATACTTTGCGCGCAATTTTATCTTGTTATAAGCATGCATTCAGGTGGAAGTATACAAGGTGAATCATTGTGCACGGGTAATTTCTTTCAACCAATAAACGTCGTGCTTTTTTGTTTTAAGCACGGCTCTTATTGGTCGGATTGTCCTAGGCTACTGCGCATCCACAGGAATAGTTCACCTTGTATACACCATGCATGCAAAATGAGCACATTCAACAAGCATATTGTTGTCATTATCACATCACTGACGTTTTTGGCAATTTGATATCCATTTGCACGTGATTTGCTGGGGTATCAAATAATATAATATATAAGCTAACCATTTACGTGCAATATGTACGACTTAGCATATCTCACATGCAAAACTCAGATAAATCTCGTACACAGTTTATATGCATAAAACGCGCAAATTTTGCACGCAAAAATTGTTAAGTAATAAAAAAATATCATATTTTATCAAATTGACTTTTAAACAATTTTTTGAGTAAATGTTTATTTTTATATAGACCGCACAAATCTATTTAACCCTGACATATGTTGTCAAGGTCATCCCCTTTAGTGGCCTTTAGAAGGTTTTAACCATTGCTCAATTTTTATTTAAAAGAGTGATGGTAAAAAGATCTGTTTTTTCGCCCATTTTATAGAGTCGAATTTTGGGACCTCAAATTTCAAATTTTTTTTAATGTCAAATAATATATGTTGAGACATTAATTCCAATAAAATTTTAAGATGAGTATAGGCACGGTTTTGAAGATATAAAGAAATGAAAGTGGTAATTTCTCATTCCTGACTAGAAATTATCACTTTCACCCCTTGTATCTCCGGAACCGTGTCTATGCTCATCTTGAAATTTTACTGACAATAAGATTAATGTTTCATCTAATAGTACTATTTGCCATGAAAAAAGTTTGAAATTCGAGGTCCCAAAAATGGGCGAAATTTGCCAACATTTTATTAAAGAATGTAAATAGTAATAAGTCGAAAGCATGGGTATAAGAAACTATAAATAGAAAATTTCACTTGAGTTTGCAATTTTTCACGTAAAGTGAGGTTTAACACCTTTATATTTGCAAGACCTAAAGTTGCAAATACCAATTGAATATTCCAAATATAGATCTCGTTTGGCATTGAAAGTACCGGATGATGAGAGTGGACCTCACTATGTCTGAAAAGTTGTGAACTTATGTTAAATTTTATATGTATAAACTTTATTTGACCATGCCTTCGCCTTATTAATAAATGTAAATGTAAAATTAATAATAGTAAATAAATAAAATAAAGAAATTAATTATATAAAATGTACATATAGTGTATAAGAACTACAGATAATTAATGAAAAATTTTTAGTTAATAATTGTTTAATAAACAATTAGCGATGGCTAAAACTTTTTCCTTATTACTCAGGACAACATATGTCAATGTCAAGGCGATTAAAATGGTTTGTGTAAAGGTAAATATTTATCCTTTTTGAATATTTAGGAACTAATCCACGATGACAGGGCCTAGTGTGCTCATATTCCAACGAGAATAAAGTTACATAAAAATAAAAAAAAATTATATAAAAACTAAAATTGCAATTAAACTTTAAGCAAATGTAACAAAATTTAATTTATCTATTGGTTTTTCTCAGTTGCATACATGAGAATTTTTGCTTTACTATAATACAATATATCTATTTTATGTATTATATAAACTTGATAGATCTGAGAATAATAATATATATCAAATCTAACACTTTCATCATTGAGTTTCTAATAAATTTTATACAATTTTAAATATATTTTTTTTTGTTTTATGACTTACTTTTATAATTTGATTATGTATTCATAAAAAAATTAAAAAGTTCTCTTTGCTAAAATGTTTTACATTGATGTTACGAGTAAAGTTTGACTTACATGTGCAATTTGATTTCCATTGTTCTTCATTTTAACCCATATTAATTCTGCAAGACTGTTATACTTATTGTTAGTTACATAAGGCGACATTTTTTCTTTATAAATATTATTTTGCATAGTAAAATCCTAAAATTGATGAATAAATTTGTTACTTTAAATAACAACTATAATTTTGCGTATCACAATAAAGTTGCAATTGTGTCTTTAATTTGTATATGTTATACGTCCTATTAACGGTCTCACGTGCTATTTAAACGTTATATAAAAAATTATATAAAAATTATATAAAAAAAATTATTTATAATATTTTTGCGCAACTGTTTTTGTACTTACTCTCAAATTATTTGTAGCCATCTCTCCGAAGATATACAAATTTTATGTCCCAAATATAAAGTGAAAAATATGATTATAAACCGACGTAGTAATTAGGTGATATACAAAATCACAAATAATTGTATTCAATTGTTCTACAAACAATTTGTCCTATTTAATCGTTCTATTTTATCGTCTTATTTTACTTAACTAAAAAAAACTGATTATTAATGTGGTATAAATATATAAGGTAGATAGTTTTTAAAGTAAAATTATGTTATTGATCACATATTTAAGTATATATTTTAAAAATATAGCTGGGAAAAGAGTATGCCAAATAGTAGCGTTTGTTAATTCGAATCTCTACTGTGTTTCTTAAACACAGTTTAAATATTTTAATATATTAACGCTGTTGTATTAGTTTTGTTTTTTAAGGCTTCTATTGATGAGTGACGTTAATAAGTTTATTTTGTGTTATTTTCATGTATTGTGTTCGGCACTCAGTGCTTAAATTATAATATTGAAAAAGATAAACAATTACTTATTATTATAGTATATTAGCTAACAAGTGCGGGGGATCGTAAATCGGCCGAGAGTGCGGAAGTTTGGCGCACGAGACAAAGCCAAGTGTGACAATTTGCACGATCTGCACATGTTGGCTACGTTATTTTGTGTGACCGGTGCGTGGAAAAGAAGCCCTTTCTAAAATCCCATCATGTGCGTAAAGGGCGACTTTTTGTTCGCCGGTTGCACAAAAGTATTTTTTCATTTTATTTAATACTGCATATGAAAACATTGCAAAATAGGCAAAATATCAATGCTAAATTAATACCTAATCAAAACATCACATACCAATGCTCAAGCTCGTATGACAATAAAAACAATGATAAATTATTAAATTAAGGCCATGTGTAACGAGCAATACGATATTATTTTATTATTGAGAAGAAAATTCTTAATTTGAAATAATAATTATACAAACGTTTCGAGCTCTACTTGCTCCTCTTCAGTGCGCAAAAAAATAGTGATAATAAATAACGATAATAAATAAATACATAAAATTCTAATAAAAAATCCGCAATACATAGTCAATATAAGTTATATAGTTGAGTCATAGTTAAAACGCAAAATATATTTACAATGAATTGAGACCATTAAAATAGTTCAACAAAGTAAGAACCCAATTAGAAGCAGAATGATTCGTCCGGTTATTCATAAAATACTGTCTACAACAAATATTGTCTACAAAATTAATTGTAAGGATTGTGAAGCTTCGTATGTTGGGCAAACCAAAAGAAAATTACGCACTAGACTAAAAGAGCATATGAATAATATTAAATTTGATTCCTCCAAGCATTCTGTGGTCTCTGAACATATTATGGATAAAAAACATGCTTTTGATTGGGATAACGTTAAAATACTTGATATTGAATCTAATTATTATAAAAGACTTATCTCGGAAATGATACACATCAAGGAACAAAGGCATGGTATAAATAATAACACAGACACCGAATTGCTTAACAACGCGTATTTCGACATTCTAGAAGAAATATCGAATTTTTAGACTTATGTAAATGTTTATTTTGTGAGATCTGACACCTATTTATTCGACTTTTTAAAAGACTAGACAACAGTCAAGTACTAACAATAAGACCAACAACAATTAGAAGCATCGTCATCTCAAGTTATTCGGAACAATTTGTAAGCATAAAGGTTCAATATTTTAGTAGTTAGTTTAATTTATAATTTTTAATCTTTTTTTCACATACACATTAGTGGAATCCTATTTTACAATTGAATAAATTCTTTAAATTCAGTTAACAAATATCAAATAATTTGGAGAGGATGAACATAATCATTGCCAGATCAAGGGACTTTCGTCAAATAACGATAAGTGGTTCATTTGGAGTAATGTATAAGTGTCACTCCAAGTTTTTATTAATAATTCTAATATATTTTATGAATAACCGGACGAATCATTCTGCTTCTAATTGGGTTCTTACTTTGTTGAACTATTTTAATGGTCTCAATTCATTGTAAATATATTTTGCGTTTTAACTATGACTCAACTATATAACTTATATTGACTATGTATTGCGGATTTTTTATTAGAATTTTATGTATTTATTTATTATCGTTATTTATTATCACTATTTTTTTGCGCACTGAAGAGGAGCAAGTAGAGCTCGAAACGTTTGTATAATTATTATTTCAAATTAAGAATTTTCTTCTCAATAATAAAATAATATCGTATTGCTCGTTACACATGGCCTTAATTTAATAATTTATCATAGGCAAAATATGTTTTAAGATTATTTATTTATTTACTTTGAGAAAAAGCAATGAAATTTTAATTAAATGTACCATTAATTTTTTTTCTAGCATATCGTACTAGTACGATTTACTAAATTTATATTTTTACTTAGGCATTAGCTTTTTTTATTATATTAATATGAACAATCAAAGAAACTGTCATAAAAATTATTTTGCAATTGGAAAAGCGCTATAATTATACACCTCTATATAGATTTGCAATTTTAATTTTTCACTGGTGCGGGTGTACTTAGCGCATTTTTAATATTTTTTGAGAAGATCAGTATTTATTATATTGACAAAATATTTATATTTTTGTAATACAAAAAATATTTTTAACTAATTTTTTGAAAATATGTTATTAATAAACGTGACATTTTTATAGGTATATATATTTTATTGTAAACTGAGTACTTTTGTAGAATATAAGGCTTTATTTTTGTTACAATTTACTAATTTTATTGTTAGAGGTATAATTTAAAACTCATGGGTGCAATTTCGCTAACTTGTATTGTAAACCGTACAACTTACTACTATTTTTCAATTTCTAATTTGCAATATAAAATAATGATCAATTGTGTTTATGTTTAACGTATATTGTTAACAAAGAAATATAGTTTCAAATGAATAAAAAAAAAGTATGTTAGAAAAGTACCAAATTTGGCCCCCAAAAATGTAAATAAAACGAAGTGTTTTTTGTATTTTTTGACCTTCTTAATACGATAAAACTATAAAAATATTTATGGGGTTTAAGGAATACTTTGAAAATTGACCAACAATATGTATTTATTAAAATTTTCATGATGCATGTAGCCAATAATTGAGATTTAATATGCAATAAATGGCTGTTTTGCTATATTTAAGATTTTTTTTACAAAAAAAGTTAACGTTATCTGGAAATTCTAATCAAGTGTCAGGTGTCATGTATTTTTCATGCCCAATAAAATGTATTATTCTTATTTCAATATATTACTTTTCATAATTATGTTATAAAAAGTTAAATCTGAGGATTACTCATATAGAGATGGTGCTTTATATAAGGAGTTATTCCTAGTTTTAATTTTTCAGACCTATGACTAAAAAGTAAAATATCGAAATAAAAAATACTGCTAGTAAAAATTGGCTTGCATTTTTTTAACATCAAAAATATATAAAAAATGTCTTCTTCTGTTTAAAATAATGAAAAAATATTTTTTGTAAACTAATATTTTTATTATTATTATTAATTATTATTAGATTGTTTTGGCTTTATAAAATGCACTTCTTTTTCACTCTTCTTTAAAAAAAAGTACATGGATATGTTCTGTGATAGTTTCATCCGAATTTCTATAAACATATGTTGTTGCTCAATTTTGAAGGTGTTCCCTAAACCCCACGATATTTTTTATAGTTTTATCATATACAAGAAATCAAAATCTACAAAAAACATTATTCCTTTTACTTACATATTTGGGGGCCAAAGTTGGTACTTTTTAACAACCTTCTTTGTCATTTCGCAAATAGTTTTATTGCAATTTTATTTTTATCTTAAAGGATACGCTTTAGCATACTTTTTCTTACTTTTAAAATTTGGTACCACGTATTTTATAGATCCTGTAGATATTTTGTCATATGAAAATTAAAATGTGTATTTACGTGTCAAAAATATCTAAAATAAAATCAAATACTTACAATAATCATATTACACAAAATAATATAATAATATGAAATACCGAAACGTGGAAAAAATATCACGAATTATTAACAATATTCTTACTAATGGCTTTAGAAGATTGAACTTTATATGTACGATAATAATTCATTTATTTATAAGATAATGTTAATTTTTTACTTCTTTAATTACTCATACGCAAAAGAAAGAACTTATTTATTATCAGTAATGTTATAACATGTATGCTAAAATATTGCCCCCACTAGTTCGACTAATGGCTTTGCAAATATATATAACAATATCTGCACACACACACACACACACACACACACACACACACACATACGCGCGCGCGCTCGCACGCACATCCACACGACCATGCACATGCACACACCCATGTACACGCACGCAACGCACATGCACACACGCGCGCGCGCACACACACACTTCTACTTAAAAATTATTTTCATGACTTTGAAGTCATGATAAATAGAAGCATATATTGCCCCTATTGCGAAATTATGACAAATGGAAATATATTCCTCCTATTTTTATTTGCGCGTGATAAGATAAACACGTATCGGTCAAAAAATAACTGGAATTACGATATAACAATATGAGTTTCTTTTTAAACGCGTGAATCACGGAAAAAATAAAAGTGATTAGAAAAAAAAATTACTGTATATTCTGACATTTTTTATGTCCAGCAGCAAACGCGTTTACAAAATTACATATTTGTTAATATACATATTATATATTGCAAATAACAATAATTTTTTCCTGCATTTTATAACTTTAATTAATAAAATAATCTTTATTTATCATATATTTAGAAAATAAAGGCTCGCATAAAGCTATGTTTTCGAATTGACATAGCTTTCTCCATTGAATTATTTGCGAGATCACACCATATGTTCTCGATCGCATTGTTTATATTATGTTTTAATGTTAGGTTTTTTTATTGAATTGTTTAGACTTTGTATTGATAAAGACCTTAGTTAGGTCGAAACGTCTACAAATGATATTAATAATAAAGATGTGTTTTTTTATTAACAACTAATTTTGTGCTTGTCAGTTGGCCTAGTAATTTCCATTTTCTTTAATAAAAGATTGTTTCAATATTTATTATTATTTATTTTTATAATTACATATAGGTATACAATATAATTTTTAGAAAAATCAAATAATCGACAAAACTAGCAAAAATCAATTTATTAATCTTCACGACATTTCGACCATGTGATTGTAGTCCTTATCAAGTGTACAATACTACAAAAAATAAATTTTTAAAAATATTAAAGAAACAAAAATAAAATAAAAGTATAACAACTGCTCAAATGACCGCATATAATAATGTGCAAGTGCAGAACCGACATTCTAGTATAATAATATTACTTACAATCAAGTCATAACAAAAGTTCACAAATGATTGTCGAATTAAAATATTATATATCTTCATGACACCTATCAGAAATAAAAAGATGAGAGACAGCATAAAACATGTCACGGTAATGATCGTCAACAGAATAATAAAAATATAAATATGATATTTTAAATTGGTCGATAGAGCCAAAGCGCGAAAAATTAATTCTTCGGAACTGTATCTCTTGGTTTGAGATTACTAAGTTCCATATATAAATTAATCTCGAACTTACATATGAAGAAAATAGGCAAGAAAAATATAGGTCCAAAAAGTCGCTGAAGCGGGAATCGAACCCGCGTCTTTCACTTTCCGGGCGACTGCTCTTACCAACTAAGCTATTCAGATCCTTTCAATTCTATATTTTTCATTTGCCTTTTAGTAGATGTTAGTAAATAATGCCGTAATTAGGCCAAGGCGTGAATAAAATCAGAAAGAAATATTTTCATCGGCTCTCAATATTAAGAATATAAATATGATTTTTTTTTTCTAAATCGGCCAATAGAGCCAAAGCACAATAATAAAATTTATTAATAAAAATAAAATTTACTAAACACTAAGAAACAAAGGAGAATACTGATGTGACTATAAAATGAAGAACATAAATTGTAGTCTAGTTCTCATTTTAAAGTGTTTATCATCTGCCTGCTCAACGTAAACTGTTAAAATTTAGATACAATTATTAAAGGATAAAGTAAAAAGAAACGAATTAAACAAAAATAAATAAACAAAAACGTGTATTCGCTCGTCTATTGATTAAAGCAAAATATAGTATATAAAAAGGCCAACTAATCGAGCATTATTAGATGATATAAAACTAAGTATTTATTCTATATAAGATAATACAATACATAAACGTTTCGACCGCATGCGGTCTTCTTCAGTATAGGAAGTAAAAGTAGATGATCATTAGTGATTGTAAGTCGCAATTTTATCGCTGAATTAGTGCATGTCGTGTTAAGTCAAATTACAAAACGTTAGTATATTTTTTACGGATTGATCGCTCTTTGGGATGTTTGGCCGATCTCATAAATTTCTTCGTTAGTAAGCGAGAAATTATTGTTGTCATACCGCTGTGAGTAGTGAGATATAATAAATTAATAATGTGTCCAAATATAAAAATTAGTTAAGAGTTTAACAAGGCTCTGTAATATAAATATAAATTTAAAGTGTAAGACAGGCAATAAAAGCCAAATCGCGGATGACAGTACGTTATCCCAACGAAACTAAAATTTTTTCCGTTAGAATTAAATACCTGTGCACAAGGCACCAAATTTTACTTGGTCACGGCCAAGTCTTACACTTTAAATAAAAATTAGTCTTACGTGATCTGTGCGCTTACTTGTAATGTTTGTCGCTTCTCAACTAGAAAAATAAATAAACATATAAAAAAGTCAAAGTTGTTAATTTAAGTTTAAAATATTATCAAAAATTACATTAAAATTTTCCGTCTCTCGCTGCAAATTAATTAAGTTCCTATGTTTTCTAATAAAAATCATTTCTCCAATTTTTCTTTTTTTTAAATTACTTTCATTATGTAAAATCTTCACACAAGACCAATCGAAATCGTGATTAAAAGTGGATCTATGTTTACTGATCATCGAATGATTGCTCTCGTGCTTTTTAATGTCTGTATGATGTTCTTTTATCCGAGTTTCTAAGTAAGTAGCGTTTAGTCTGCCCAATGTAACATGAATTGCAATTATTACACAAAATCTTATGAACGACATTCGTTCTTCTGTAGGGAGGTAGTTAGTCTTTCCCTTTTCTAATTATCTTGTCAAGTCTATTCGGAACCGTGTATAAAATTACCAACCCATACTCATCCAGTATATGTTGAACACTCTCGCTTAACCCTTTGATGTAAGGCAGAACCGATTACTCTCGATGCATCAAATTCTTTTTTATTTGAAGGAATCGGCTCATGTGATGAGTGTAAATAGTTGAGTCTCTTGTTGATAATTGCATTCATCAGTTTTGGCGGATAACAATAATTATGAAGAATTTGTTTTATTAATTGAATGTTGTGTGTATGGAATTGTTTGTTCGAAATAATATAGCTCTATCCGTGAGACTAACAATAAGTATTGTACTAACTTTATATTTGTGGGGGTAACTTAAGAAAAATATATATCTACCAGAAAAAGTCGATTTCTTATACCAATTAGTTATTAAATTGTGATTCTGCCTAATGATGGTTGTGTCCAAAAAATTAATTAAGTCATTAATTTCAATTTTGTATGTAAATTGCAGACGAGGATGATAATTATTAAATTGAATTAAAATATCATTGATACAATCCCTCGGAACAATGGCAAAAATGTTATCCACATATCTGTAGTACAAAGAGATAAAAAAAGGTAAAGATTTAAGACAAGAAAACTCAGAAAAAATAGAGACTTATTAGTCACCAAGGCTGATAAAGGTCAGATCACGATAGTTTTGAACAGGCAGGATTATATAAATAACATGACTAAGTTGCTTTCGGATACTTCCATGTATAAAAAATTTGACAAAGATTTTTTGAAGAAATTAACAAATAAAGTGAATTCACTGGTGCGTTCTTGGCGAGATAACGAACTAATTGATGAGATACATCTCTTATCTTAATAATTATAATAATTATAAATAAAATAATAATAATAATATACAATAATGAGAATTTTTAGGTCGGCTCTTTTAATTTAAAACACGAAATACACCTCCTTCTTCTCGGTTACAGAGCTCAACGCAATGTTATTGCGAAATTAAGGAATCTGAGAATCTTTATCCTATATTTGGGATCTCAAGAATTCTCCTTGTACCTCTTTTACTTCCCCCGTAAAGAAATAGGCGAGAAAAATATTGGTCCGAAAGCTGGCTAAATCGGGAATCGAACCCGAGACCTTCCACTTGCCGAGCGAATGCTCTTCTAACTGAGCTATTCAGACATTTACGAAACAATTTGGGGGTGAAAACATTGAAAAAAGTATTGTTTCGCAAGTGTCTGAATAGCAGTTGGAAGAGCATTCGCCCGGCAAGCGGAAGGTCTCGGGTTCGATTCCCGATTTAGCCAACTTTCGGACCAATATTTTTCTTGCCTATTTCTTTACAGGGGTAGTAAAAGAGGTACAAGGGGAATTCTTGAGATCCCAAACATAGGATACAGATTCTCAGATTCCTTAATTTCTCAATAATAATATAATAATAATATAATAATAATATAATAATAATATAATAATAATAATAATAATATAATAATAATATAATAATAATTATTTTTTAATTATATTGTTATACAATTTTATTATATAATTTTGTATTTTTTATAATTATTTTTAGTTATAAAAAAATTATAACAATATAAATATAATTCTAATAGCGAATTCGATTGGATGCACTAGTGCGCACTGAGTAAGTGCACATATTGCACACAATTTTATAATGACATAAGTAATTAAAAAAGTAAAATAATTAATAGTAACAGCTATTATTATTATTATCATTATTTATATTGAGCAACATTAGTAATCTCTTACTATTAATTATTTTTCTTTTTTAATTATACTTATTGTGTCATTGTGAACTTGGGTGTGATAAACTTTTATATGCACTTAGTGCGCACTAGTGTATCCAATTGAATTCGTTATACGATATCGTAAATCACATTTCCAGCAAGCGCAGATATAAAATTATTGAACACAGAATAATATTT